CGTGAATCTTCCGGTTGATATGTTGTTGAGGTTCTCCCCATAAGGAAAGAAATCGGCCTTGTCTTCGATGCTCGTGTTTATGAAGTTGTTATTCCCCACTTCCAGATATGAGTCTCCGAAGGGGAAAAGGGCTGGTTTGTTGCAGCCAGCTTCAAGGGTGATGGCTAGAGCATTAATGGTTATCAAGATGACAAGAAAAGATGGTAAATTTGCCATTTGATTGAGCTTCTTTTGTGTGTTCTTTTGTTTCTATTGCTTTGTTTTGCAACTAAGTGTAGGATGTGTGGAAGATAAGTGAAGAGGAGGTAGCAATTTATAGTGCTATAAAGTGACTTAAGTGAGTGTGTATGATTTTACATTTGATCAACTCTGTAGACGAGTTATAATTAGAGTTGTAAATGAATCGGGCAGAGTCCGAGCTCCTGATAGTACTCAGGCATGAGCAGTTTAAACTCGAGCCCTTATCCAGCTTAGCTGAGTTTGGTCTGAGTTTGGTCGTGAAGTTAATTAAGCTGATAAATGCGCTCGAGTTCGGTTTATTAACAAACCAAATTTTGCTAAAAAGAAAATTTGTGAACAACCCTATTATTTTTCAAGCCTAACGAGTGAGATCCTAATACTCGGGCTCAAGCCTTTATCGAGCTTAGTCGAACCAAGTTCGTGAAGTTAACGAGGTGATATATGAGTTATGACTAAAGTTGTAAAATGGGTCGAGCGAAGTCCAAGTTCCTGATACTCGGACGTGAACAATTTGGGCTCGAGCCCCTATCGAGCCTAGTTGAGCTCGGTTCGTGAAGTTAACAAGTCGATAAATGAGCTTGCAGCTCATTAACAGGAATGTGTTATCATTTTTACATGCAATGGCATAAAAGCGGTGAATTTAAGTGTACTGATAAAAGGGTATGACTTAATTGGTTGTTGGTACGATCTCCTCAATCTGCACGTACAAAAATGTTAGGGCACTTAATTTACTTTTGTAGATTTCATAATCTTTCATAAATTTACTATTATGACATTGTAGGTACTTTACATTTGGAAAAGAGCAAGTCGAGTTGTATACCCGGGCTGAAACAGCTCGGGCTCGAGCCCTTATTAGATGGGTCGAGAAACGAGCTTGCGCTCGATTCATTCACAAACTTCAAAAAAGCAAATTATGATAAAAAAAAATAATAATAAAAACTCAAATTTTCAAGCCTAAGTAACCGAGCTCAACCTAGTCATAAACGAGCCAAGCTCAATATTACCGAGTCGAGCCTAGCTCAAGAGCAGCTCGTTTTATTTATAAACTTAAGCAAGTACCACAGTTGGACCAGATATTATTACCTTGACGTATAATATGGTGCAAGGATATGAACAATATCGTAATTTTATTTCAGATGAAAAAATCATAATAAATAATTTATTTTTAACTTAATTTGAATTCAATAAATTAATATAAAAGGTACAATAACGTATTTTTAAAGTTATAGATAAAATATATTGTTGATGTTAATTTATTTATTTTTTTTTTCGGTGCAATGTTGATGTTAATTTTGAATAATATAGAAAAGAAAAAAGATATGTATCTAAATGAGTAATAATATCCCAACACTTAAAAAGTGTGATATTTGCGGTCCTATGGAACCATCGTTTGCGCGCGGAAATCCAATATATTGTCGACAAGCTGTGTGTTGGATATCATGAGTCAATGAAGATACATACACATGGAGATATATAAAGTGCGGAGTCCCGTTAAAGAATTATTTCGCCGGGTGTATAATCGTTAGATGAAGTGTCCCCGAATTATCTTTGACGGTTACATGATGATGTAACGATTATAAACTCGACGGAATAATTCAATAACAGTTTTTAATTTTCATATCCCTATGAGATAATGATAATTCTAAATTAATCTTAAGAAAGTGTCACATTAATTTTGAACTTTGGAATACAACCTTATTAGAGATAATTTTGGCATCATTTAAAATAATGGATATTTTATAGTAGTATATTGATATGATATTGTTGTAGAGAAAACGATTTTGAAGATTTATAGAGAAGATTTGTATTTCTTGAATTGTTTATTATGTAGTTTTTAGTATTTTTATTTTATGTTCATGTGTGCTTAACTTATAATTATATGGTAGTTATTATGGAGTTTTTATGTGTTTATATGAAGTACTACAAAAAAAAAAAATTATCGTATTACAGCGGAACATATGAAGCACTACAAATAAAATTATGGAAACATATATTCTAATGGTATATTATTTTAGTGTAAATTCCAACCAGAATATTATGTTGGAATGATTTTTCATGGAAATTTTATTTGGAATTTAATGATTCCAATTATAACCATTTCTCTAACAGTTTATTAGGAATTTTTATTTCCACCTATATTTCAACTGTTGGAAAATTTATAATTGGAATCTTCAAAATCCAATGAAAAATTTCAGTGGAATATTTTCGCTGAAATTTCTATTGGAATCTATTGAAAAATTTCAACTGAAATAATAACATTGAAATTTCCATTCGAATATTTGACTCTGAAATTTCTATTGGAATATATTTTCGTTGGTATTTCACCATTTTTTTTGTACCGTTAATTATGAATTTGATGAGTTCAGATGAAACAAACTCGACTAACATAAAGATTTCAAAAAACAGTCCTAAGAGGAGGAGTTTTAATTAAATTATGCAAATTAATCTTTGTTTGTCTGACTTTCTTCCTTTTTCTTAATATAAAAAACTCAATCAAAATGTAATTATCTTCGAGAACAAAATGTCTATTATGCTTAATATATTGTAATACGATTAAGTTGTTAACTCCACCTTGGGGATAAGTACAATCAGGGTCTCATTCAACTCTGCCGGCATGTACTCAGAAGATAACACTCGCCTGACCAATTCACACACCGATTGCCCAACACAGTCCCAATTGATGTACACATTCATTATAGATCTATCTAATGTAATTTACATTCACAGACTTGATTAAATAATTTTATACTTACTGATATTTGATCAAAAGAAAATAAAATTAGGAACTACTTTTATAGTCATTTCAATGACATCATGAATATTTGTCTATATCCAAAAAAGAAAAATAAAAAAGTTTGATACTACAGAATCTTCTTTATAGTTATAGTTTTATCGTAGCCATGTGAGGTTGAACATTAATGTTTTTAGATTCAATAATTGTATAATACGTAAGTGTGAAAAATAAGCGTGACATATGAGTGTGCTAATACGTTAATTACGTGATATTATTGCGTGGTAAGGCCATTGTACCTAACCCCAACACTCAAGGACGATAGTTCGACCTAGAAGGGCTCAGTTACTCGAAGTTGACCGGGCTGAGTAACTCGATCACATATAGGTCAATCACCTGAGCGCTCTGTTGGTCAAACCTAGAGATCTAGATTGGCCGTGAGGCACAATCCGACTAAAGACGAGCTGAGGTACATATTAACGCTAATAGTGTGAACGCAATAATATGGATGTGATAGTATGAACACAATTAGATAAGGACGAATCACAGGCGGCACTAGGGCTACAAGCTAATACCATCGGGCAGTCCTTAACACCAAGACACGATTAATCAGAAATCAAGGTAATAACTATATAAATAGGGCGATGTATGATTTGAGAGGTTTCATATATTCTTCTTTTCGTCTGAACTTTGGAGCATTAATTATAGTATCTTCTCTATTTCAGTACTAACATGATCGTCAGAGTAATAATGTCGAAAACACCCCTCGACCCTTGTTTAGTGGATTACCAACTTCATCCCAGGCGATCAGGATACCAGGCTAAGCAACCGGGAGATTTAGAGAGAACCGGTCGCCTAAAAGCCGGAATTATTTGGTAAATATTTAAACATATACGGAAAAAATAAATTAAGGAAAAATAAAGAAGAAAATCGAAGAAGACAATTTTGAACTCGAAAATTTTGGTTCTATAGAAATTCAAATAATGTTCGAGTACTAATAAGCTAAATTATATTAATTACCCCATATCTATTTTTGATATTCATATGTGATTTGTCATTGTGTAGGATTTCGAAGCTCAAAAAAGGCCAAAAAGTGAGCCTAGACAAGCTTTAATTTTTTTTTTTTTGGTACAAGCTTTAAAATTTTAAAAGATGTTACAATAAATTTCATATATAGTAAAATGTAAAATAATTGCACCAACATTATGTGAGTCAATGAGTATAACAATAAATTATATATAAAAAAATATAAAATAATTGCACGATTTTATCGCCCTGTGCATCGAAGTCCAATAATATATTATCCAGAGTCTTTGTCCAGTACTAGTCAGGATATATTTCTGATCGTTAATCGATTCTTAAAAAATCAATATATGGTTATTTCTAGAATAAATTTATATACTGATCATTACTTTTTGAAAAAAATTGAAGAAACGGAGGTTAACGGGTGTCGTTCCACGGACGTGAAGCGTACCAAAGCAGAATTAAACTTATAAATTAGGCCTATTTCCTTATATAGACGATGTGAGACGATTGTATATTCTAACAAAAATCCCACAAATAACAGCCCACTAAGTTGGCTTATTCGCGCAAGTAGTATGCTATATCGATAAATCATTAAACTTTGTTCATTAATTATATTCACATTTTAATTACTTATAATATTGTAATA